CGTTTCCAAAGAAAACAAAAAAAAAAAACAGTAGTGAGAACTCTGTAGGCAAGTCACCTTCCTGGGTTTCAACAGTTCAGTCTGCCTTTGTTCTAGGACTGACCTGGGGCTCTAATATAGGGCTGAAGACAGGCCAGGGGGTGGAGGGGGACTGGGCCCCTTCCCAGAACAGGTGGTGGAACACCAGGTCTCCCATGGATCAAGGCCACAGCTGCCACCCGCTGCAGGTGCAGGAGTGACAGCCAACGGAAGGACCCAGGGTTCCCTCCAACACGTGGCTGCACAGGTGGCACTGAAAGACCAATGGATAAAGGCAGCAGGAAGGAAAGTTCACATGAGGACAAGAAGGCCTCTTTGAGAAAGGACATGTGTGCTGGAACTAGTCCGACCTGGGTTCAAACCCTGGTTCTGCCACCTCCAAGCTCAGTGACCTTGGGCACATGGCCTAACCTCTCTGAGCCTCAAGTTTCTCATCTCTAACATGGAATCATTGTTAGTAGCCACCGCCATGGAAAACTTGTGTTGAGCACTTTCTCTCTGTGCATCAGGCGCTGCTGTGGGGAGGGCAGCTGCGAGAAATGCAGGTCCCAGCCCCCCTAGGGCTTCAATCTAGTCGGGGAGACAATGACACATCTACACAAGTAAATAGAGGGTATTTCTGGTTGTGGTGGTGGGTTCTATGAAGGGAATGGACCGTGGGTGATTGGGCTGGGAATAAGAGTCACTAGATTAGGTGGGGGCCAGGGAAAGTGACATTTGGTCTGAGAGGGTCATATCTGATCGAGACCGGAGGATGAGTAAACGCCAGCCAGGGGGCAGGAGAAGGGAAGGGGGGGGACAGCAATTCTAAGGTCTGGGGGCAGGAAGGGACCTGGTTTGTTCCAGAAAAGGGAGGCCAGTGTGGCTGGATCTTAGTCGTCACAGAGGTGGTGGGAGATGAGGTCAAAAAGCAGGTGACGACTAATGCTGAGTTGACACATGATCGAGCAGTTCCACTGCTAGGTGCACATCTGTGAGAACATCCTGCATATGTGCCCCAGGGGACGTGCTCGAGAATGTTCTGTTCACAGGAGCCATGTCCTCAAACCTCAATAGCATACCCCTGTAATATTCTGAAAAAAATAAATATATTTAAAAAAACATTTTTAAAGAATATATACGATAGGATGGGTACAGTGGCTCATTCCTGTAATCCTGGCACTCTTGGAGGCCAAGGCAGGAGGATGGCTTGAGGTCAGGAGTTTGAGACCAGCCTGAGCAAGAGCAAGACCCCATCTCTACTAAAAATAGAAAGAAATTAGCCAAACAACTAAAAAATATATAGAAAAAATTAGCCGGGCATGGTGGCACATACCTGTAGTCCCAGCTACTTGGGAGGCTGAGGCAGAAGGATCCCTTGAGCCCAGGAGTTTGAGGTTGCTGTGAGCTAGGCTGACGCCATGGCACCGGCAACAAAGGGAGACTTGGTCTCAAAAAAAAAAAAAGAAAAAGAATATATAGGATAATATAATATATCTATGATCTCAGATTAGAGGTTTATTTTACAAGACACAGAAACTGCTAATAAAAAATGATAAATATGACTATATTATGAATAAATCAATAAATTGTAATGCCGGCGTGGTGGCTCACGCCTGTAATCCTAGCACTCTGGGAGGCTGAGGCAGGCTGATTCGCTCAAAGTCAGGAGTTCAAAAACAGCCTGAGGAAGAGTGAGACCCTGTCTCTACTAAAAATAGAAAGAAATTAATTGGCCAACTAAGATAGATAGAAAAAAAAAATTAGCCGGGCATGGTGGCGCATGCCTGTAGTCCCAGCTACTTGGAGGCTGAGGCAGGAGGATGCTTGAGCCCAGGAGTTTGAGGTTGCTGTGATCTAGGCTGACACCACAGCACTCTAGCCCAGGCAACAGAGTGAGACTCTGTCTCAAAAAAAAAAAAAAAAAAATGTAAGATAGACATAGCATATTCACCCAATTGAATATTAATCAGCCTTCAAAAGAGTGAATGACATTGAGATGCCTTATGTAGATAATTCTGAAAAATATAAGTTAAGGAGGAAAAAAATGTAGTAAGGCTCAGAAGATTAAATGTAGTTTAATACACTTTTTAAAGAATTAAAAACTAAAAATTTATTAATTTCTTATTTATATTTTTTCTAAGGGCATGAGCCAGGCAACAATTGAATATTTAAAATAACCTTTTTAAGGAATACAAATAAGTGGATAAAACTATATTCAAAGGGAAGCAGAGGCACAATGAACACAGCACCCTGGATGACAGCTGGCTCAAGGATGGAAGTGGAGACAGGGATAGATTAGATGTTGCTAGAAGTTCTTGCTTTGTTTTGACAGTTTTTGTTTTGGCTTTATTGAAGGCTAATTTACATATATAAAATTCTCCAAATATCATTGTAAACTTTTTTCGTTTTCTATTTTTTTTCTTTAGACAGTCTGACTCTGTTGCCCAGACTAAAGTGCCATGGTGTCAGCCTAGCTCACAGCAACCTCAAACTCCTGGGCTCAAACGATCCTTCTGCTTCAGCCTCCCAAGTGGCTGGAACTACAGGCATGTGCCACCATGCCCGGCTAATTTTTTCTATATATTTTTAGTTGGCCAATTAATTTCTTTCTATTTTTAGTAGAGACGGGATCTCGCTTTGCTCAGGCTAGTTTTGAACTCCTGACCTTGAGTGATCCTCCCACCTTGGCCTCCCAGAGTGCTAGGATTACAGGCATGAGCCACCATGCCCAGCCTAAACTTATTTCTTGAGACAAGGTCTCCTTTAGTCACCAGGGCTAGAGTGCCCTGGGCATCATCATAGCTCACAGCAACCTCAAAGGCCTGAACTCAAGCAATCCTCCTGCCTCAGCCTCCCGAGTACCTGGAACTACAGGCACTTGCCACCACACCAGGCTAACTTTTCTGTTTTTAGTAGAGACGGGGTCTTGCTTTTGCTAAGGGTGGTCTTGAACTCCTGTGCTCAAGTGATCCTCCCACCTTGGCCTCCCAGAGTGCTAGGATTATAGGCATAAGCCACCAGGCCTGACTAAAAATGGAATTGT